TGGTAGGTTAGACGTTTCTGGAAAACGCAAAGCATGATTTTTCTGAAAATTTCACCTCTCACATTTCTTTACCTGTTCTATCGATCTAAAATATTTTCAGCATTGCGGCGTTGCCACTTCCATCAAAAAGTCCTAGCAACTTTATTATTAAATGGAATACCCCGTATATTAATACATTTTTGGAATTGCTCTGGTGTTTTATTACTTTTTTATTGAAAATGTCCTATATCTATCTCTATCTGATTTCGAGATAAAAAATAAATTGTGCTAAATATGGTCCAAAACATAGCCTTAATTGAAATTAAGTACATCAGTACTCTCAATTCATGAAAAGTTGATATTTTGATGATAGTTTGGAAAAACTCGAAATATTCAAATAACATCAAGAAATCGACCCCATATCATACAGGGCGTGCTAAAATTACTATTATTTCCATTGTGCATGAAAGTAGTCAAAAGTTAATTTTTTCAAATGAAATCTCCTGTATATTACTCGGTAAATTGAAAGATGGTGAAAAATGCTTCAAGATGATATATCATGTCCCTATACCTAAATTGTCAAGTTTACTCAATAAAGTCGCTTCTTCTAGAAACATTATTTTTTTAGAATTTGGATTTAGGTAGCAGTGGAATTATCAAGCTTATAGCAGTTCGGTTACTTTTATAAGTAATTTACATAGAGTTATCGACGGTGTTTCGAATCATTTTCCAAAATGAATGCAAATATCGATTATTCAAACGAAGTTCTTATGAAATTATTTATTATACACATGAACAAAGTGATCAAATCATTATCAGAACGTGTAAAAAATTCAACCAAATGTATCCTGAATTTACACCAATCAACGAGAGGAAGTTTGTAAGGTTACAAAATGATTGCCTTAACTATGGCTCAAAGTTTCCAGGGAACAACTATACCAAAAATCAGTCATTTCTAGGTAAAAAGTAAGATTTTGTGGGCTAAAATATGTGAAAGTACAGACAATAACAGAAAAGTATGATTCAAAATAACAAAATAGTGAACAAAATATCACATTTTCACAATAAATGCTGAAAATGTTGTACATTACATTCTAAATACTTCAAAATATTTTTTGTACGTGACTTGTGGTTGCTTTTTTAATTTTCTGGGAATCCAGATCTTCAGTACTCCGCACTATACGCCGTCGCAATTCTTCTTTGGTAGGCATTGGAATACTGTATACCCTTTCTTCCAAAAAAACCCCATAAAAAAGTCAAGTGGCGTGAGATCGGGTGATCTCGGTGGCCAATCCCACAGCCCTAAATGCCTAAACCAACGATCGTCGGAGAGTTTGTCAAGTTTTCTGGAAACTTCCTGCGTGAAATGAGCTGGCGCTCCATCCAGTTGAAACCATGAATTCCTATATTCATCTATAGGCAAATTTTCAAAAAAATCGGTTTCAGTCGTCCTTAATATTTGGAGATATCTCTCTGCATTCAGTGTGTCTTCATAAATAGAAAAACTAATTTTATTGTTCTTCAGAATACAGAAAACATTCAGTTCAAATTTTTCTTGAAAACTCATTTCTTTTGTAACATGAGGATTATGATCAGCCCAAAAATGTTCATTCCTTCTATTCAAAATACCATCCCTCGTAAATTTTGATTCATCGCTCCAAATTACTTTTAATCTTCCTGTGTATGAATCAAAAGGGATTCACAAAAATGCATTCTACGTTCGAAGTCTTTTGCTTTTAGAGCTTTAACTTTGGTAAATTTATACGGATGCATTCCGTGATTTTTCAAAATTCGTTGTACTGAAGCATGTGATACACCTAGATCTTTTTCTGCACTGCGAATGGAAGCTTCTGGATATGCATTAAAATATGCGAAAATGTTAACAGTATTGTCCTCATTTGAAGTAACAGGTTTTGGTAATGTTGAAGTCGCTTTTAACATGGAGCCATAGTTAAGAAAGTTATTTTGTAATCTTACAAACTTCCTCTCGTTGATTGGTGTTAATTCAAGATTCATTTGGTTGAATTTTCTATAAGTTCTGGCAATGACTTGATCACACTATGCGTGTATAATAAATAATTTCATAAGAACTTCCTTTGAATAATCAATATTTGCATACATTTTGGAAGATGATTCGAAACACCGTCAATAACTCTTTGTAAGTTACTTATAAAAGTAACCGAACTGCTATAAGCTTGATAATTCCACTGCTACCTAAATCCAAATTCTAAAAAAAAATAATGTTTCTAGAAGAAGCGACTTTATTGAGAAAACTTGACGATTCAGGTATAGTTTGAAATTTTCCAGGATTGTGTTTTCTCTCGAGCATTATCCTACTACCATCATCAGTACTACTAGTATACCTTTTTTAACACGCTTATATCAGCTTCACCCGTATGTTTGTTTGTTCGGATCCGACTGCTTTGGACTCGATTTTGACTAACTTCAAACGGACATATTTATTTTAATTTTTGTACACTCATCAAGAATCAATAACAAAACAATAATTCCATAAGTACATCTCATTATTCTGATCAGGATCGCCACACTGTCTGCGCAATTGAAATAATTGGGCTTGAAATAGAATGCCAAACTGAAAAGTGGAAAACGAATTATACTTCAAAAATTAAAAAAAAAACTTCCAATAGCAATACAAACTGAAATATGATTCGAAACTGATTTGAGATTTTATTCAAGATCGATAATAAGTCCTATGGCTTGATGTAACCAATAAGTCTAAAATCAGAATAAATCTATTCAGTGTGGGGGTGCCAATCTGGCAAACAGCTCCTAACCAAGTATTCATAACAATGAATATATTTAACACCCGACGTTTTATGAACCAAATTAATTTTCTGTGAATAGATTCATTCTGATTTTAGACTTATTGAATGTCAATAGTTACATCAAGCCGTAGGACTTATTATAGATGTTGAACAAAATCTTGAATTAGTTTGGAATAATTTTTCATTTTCTAGTTTGTGTTGCTATTGAAGCGTGTCGTTTTAGTTTTCAAAACTATTATTCATTGCTATACATTGTTTCATTGCTATTTACTGCTATAAAAGCGTGTTGTTTCAGTTTTTTTAAACTATTATTCATTATTTTGCATTGACAGTAGATAAGATTTACGAACCTGTGTTATTAATTAGTTTATATTCTAATTTATATTCAATTCATATTCTAATTTATATTCTAATTCATATTCTGGTTTATATTCTGAATTATATTCTAATGAGTCTGAAATCAGAATAAATCTATTCAACTCAGTGTGCCAATCTGGCAAACAGCTCCTAACCAAGTATTCATAACAATGAATATATTTAACACCCCACGTTTTATGAACCAAATTAATTTTCTGTGAATAGATTCATTCTGATTTTAGACTTATTGAAGGTCAATGGCTATATCGAGCCGTATGACTTATTATAGATGTTGAACAAAATATTGAATTAGTTTTGAATAATGTTTTATTTTTTAGTTTGTGTTGCTATTGAAGCGTGTCATTTTAGTTTTCAAAACTATAATTCATTGCTATATATTGATTCATTGCTATTTACTGCTATAAAAGCGTGTTGTTTCAGTTTTTTTAAACTATCATTCATTATTCTGCATTGACAGTAGATAAGATTTACGAAACTGTGTTATTAATTAGTTAATATTCTAATATATATTCAATTCATATTCTAATTTATATTCTAATTCATATTCTGATTTATATTCTAATTTATAGTCTAATGAGTCTGAAATCAGAATGAATCTATTCAACTTAGGGTGGCAATCTGGCAAACAGCTCCTAACCAATTATTCATAACAATGAGTATATTTAACACTCCACGTTTCATGAATCAAATTAATTTGCTGTAAATAGATTGATTCTGATCTTAGACTTATTGAAACTCAATAGTTACATCAAGCAGTAGGACTTATTATAGATGTTGAACAAAATCTTGAATTAGTTTTGAATCATTTTTTATTTTTTAGTTTGTGTTGCTTTTGAAGCGTGTACTTTTAGTTTTCATAACTATAATTCATTGCTATATATTGTTTCATTGCTATTTACTGCTATGAAAGCGTGTTGTTTCAGTTTTTTTAAACTATCATTCATTATTCTGCATTGACAGTAGATAAGATTTACGAAACTGTGTTATTAATTAGTTTATATTTTGATTGATATCAATTTATATTCTAATTCACATTCTAATTCGTATTCTGATTTATATTCTAATTTATATTCTAATAAGTCTGAAATCAGAATAAATCTATTTAACTTAGGGTGCCAATCTGGCAAACAGCTCCTTACCAAGTGTTCATAACAATGAATGTATTTTATGTTTTAGTTTGTGTTGCTATTGAAGAATGTTTTTTCAGTTTTTGAACTATTATTCATTGTTTTTCATTGCTTTATTGTTATTTATTTTCATCAAAGCGCGTTTTTCTAGTTTGAAACTATTATTTATTGCTATTTTTTCTTTATTGTTATTTACTGCTTTCGAAGCGTGTTGTTTCAGTTTTTTTAAACTATTATTTATTGTTCGGCGTTGACAATCGAAAATATTTACGAAACTGAGTTACTCAATTCGTTTACATTCTAATTTATAAAATATTTGAAGTCTGAAATCAGAATAAATCTATTCAGTGTAGGGTGCAATTCTAGCAAACAGCTCCTAACCAATTATTTATAACAATGGATGTTAAACCCCACGCTTTTTCAAAATAAAATAATTTTTTTTGTTAATAGATTCATTCCATTTTCACATTTATTGGAAGTCATTAGTTACATCAAGTCATCGATGTTGAACACAATCTTAAATTAATTTGGAATAATTTTTCAGTTTTGCTAATGAAGCATGTTTTTTCAGTTTTTCAAATTATAATTTATACGTTTTTTCATAAAACTATAGAATTGGTTTTTATAAAATCGAAATTTGTTGGATCACTTCCATTGTTACTGTTAGAAATCAATCGTCTGATCAAGAAGCACTGATACTCGAAATAAAAGTAATTAAAAGTTTGTTTACCTCTCTTTTCTAAGTTCTCCATTCCTTTTCCTGAAGTTTGCAACAAGAAGTTGTAACTCCTCGGCGTGTTGCTCGTACATCTGGCCCAATTGCTGAGTGAAATCCGATACTGAAACAAAAGGAATAGTAATTGAATGAATTGAAACTCGCACAATTGTTTACTGTTCACTGTATCAGCTTTTCCATCACAGAAACTGAAATTATTCGAATGATTTACGAGGTTGTATTGATATCTATTTAGCCGAGACCGGTTATGTGGATGGAAAAACATTGCGTCACCATAGCAACGATGAAAAGTCAAAATGTAGGTGGGAAATTTCACGCCGATAAGTTGAGCTTCTGCTTAACTAAAATCTGAAAAAAATTATTAAACGAAATTGAAATGTCGATCCACCTTCAAGTACCTGTTTTTGGCGATTAATTTGTACATATTGAAAGCTTCAAAAGAGGTGAATTTTCTATAGAAGATGTAACCGAACGGATTGGCTCCCATAAATTTCGATGTAGTTCACGACATGAATTTATCAAACCTTTGAATTGAGATGGAACCAATATCTGAAGCACTGGATATTCCATATCAACGCTTCCATTATATAGCAGAGATTATTCTTATGTTGAGCTATATAAGTACCTGAAGAGGGACTATAAACAGCAGATAAAACTTGCTAAAAAACGAGCTTATGATAATTACATTCGTTCAGCAAAAAATAAATCTAATGCTTGCTGGAAGATCATCAATTTCGAACGAAATGAAAGAACTTGTCAAATTGCTTTCCATATCTCACCGGAAAATTTCAATGACTTTTTGTGGATATTGCAGAAGGTATCATAAAATCTTTACCTAAATTACCCATATCTGATTCACAAAACTTCAGAAATTTTCCAGCTCCCTGCAACACCTTTTTTCTCAAGCCCGTTACCGATCTTGAAATCACAGAAGCGGTTAAATCTCTAAAAGATTCAAACTGCCTAGATGCCCAAGATTTAAATAGTTCTATTATCAAGAGAACACTCGACATCATACTATACCCGTTAACCATGTTAGTAAATCTGATTTTTGAAACAGGCATATTTCCAGACTCTTTTAAGTTCTCCAAAGTGATCCCAATATTTAAAAAGGAGATATTTCTTCCTTGGATAATTTCCGTCCTATTTCCATTATCTCAATTTTTGGTAAAATTGTTGAAATAATTTCAAAAAGACGCCTATATTCCTATTTTGAAACAAATTATTTTTTTTTCAATCTCCCAATATGGTTTCCGCAAAGAAAGATCCACCTCGCAAGCTGTTTTAGATATATTTTTTATCTTAAATTATATTTTATACTCATCCGATCTGAAATTACTTTTGCTGTGCGTAAGCATATGTAACAAATTTTCATGACTTGCTACAAACATGTAAAGTGTAATGTGGTCGAATAAAATTCTATTCTATTCTATTCTAGTTCACATCAATTTGATCGTGGTAGAGTTTCCTGCAAAATGGATACCAAATTGTCTGAATGTTGATCAGAAGCGTACAAAGGCAAATGCTTCGCATCCGATTTGAATTCGGTTTGAAAGAGATGCAGACTTATTGAGCCGTGTTGGATCCGGAAACAAAAAAAAATCGATTTTGTCTTCTACGAATTTCGTGTTCAAAAGTCTTCTGTTTAAGTTGCCTCCGGTTTTTGGTATTGCCAAGAAATGATAATACATTTTCTGGAAAAGAATGAATAAATTGTGAGAATTACTATTTGACGTGATTGACCACTCTACAAAAAAAATATAGAGGGAAATTGCGGAAAGTTGTTGAGAAGAAGAAGAAGGTTTCAAATCTAGCCACTATTAAATTGAAATATTAAACACTCTCAACTGAATATTTTGTTCTTGTCCAGTTTGTGGAAGAAAATCCTTTGGGATATATAGTCGCCCATTCGTGTGTTGTGATGAATAATTGTGAAATATTTGAAACAGTTACAACTGTTGGTGTCCCAAAAGATTCGGTTTTGGCCCCAATATTTCATTCGCTCTATGTTGATGAAAATGAAAATATAGTTCTGAAGCGTGCTCACTTCCCATTTGCAGATGATCTTACACTGTTCCTTCCTGTTCCTTGTTTGGTAGGAGTTGTCACTTGAGTACAACACAACTTGTGTATATTTGGCCTTCACGAAATTTTATTTTGTGAATCCATTTTTGCATTAAATATCATATAACAATCTTCAACTCCTTGCCAGCCTATCATTTGATATGACAACTGATCAAAAGTACAATTCCAGATTTTCCTTGTTCGGGAAGTTTCTGAAAAATTTAAATTTAGACAGTCCACCTCTTATCATTTTCAGGATACATTTGTTATCCGTAGATCAGTTGTTATTCCTAGATATTTAATCGAATGACTCAATGATGTATTAAATTTCAGTCAGCCAGTTGGTCAGCTATTTATACAATTGACCAATTGTGATAATTGTTCGGATTTCAACTGTAGGATGATCATTATTCAAATCGTATCTATTTTTTTTTATTCAAAAGGAAAAACACCGCATCAACCACTAGGATTATTAGCGGTTACAGTAGGTACATTAAATTTTGTTAGAGATGCCAACATTTTCCAAAAAACTATAAAGGGAAGTAAAGTTCGTAACATCCAATGCATTGGTGAGGTCGCTTGGTAATCCGAAAAATTGTCTTTCTTCATTGAAAGCTGGGCAATCAGAGATGAAATGTTCAACACTCATCGTCACACTGCAGGTATCACAAATGCGAGGCTCTTCATGCTTTAGGAGATGTAGATGGGTAAATTTCGTATGTCCAATTCTCAGGCGTGTAAGTAAAACTTGCTGTCTGCGGGTGAGAGCTCGGTAATTTTGAGTGACTAGATTCGGATTAATGGCTCTGAGTTTATTATTATATAGGGATTGCCACCTTTGCCTCCATCTGTCGCATATGAGCTCTTTGATTTGGAGATAAACGTCTTGATAGGGCACTCGTTGGATCTCTCGACAGTTGGGGTTTGAAATGGCCTCTCGAGCTTCTGAATCGGCCCTTTCATTACCCGTTATTCCCATATGAGAAGGAATCCAAACTATCTCAATGTGTTTACCATCCTGTAATAACTTTCCCAGTTCAGTCTTAATGAGAAGAAGAAGAGCATTTTTCGGGTAGAGTTGTTGGATGCCCAAGACAGCACTGAGAGAATCAGTGAAANCTATAAGCTTGATAATTCCACTGCTACCTAAATCCAAATTCTAAAAAAAATAATGTTTCTAGAAGAAGCGACTTTATTGAGAAAACTTGACGATTCAGGTATAGGGATATGATATATCATCTTGAAGCATTTTTCACCATTTTTCAATTTACTGAGTTATATACAGGGGGTTTCATTTGAAACTACTTTTCTACTTTTATGCACAAAGGCAATAATAGTAATTTTAGCACGCCCTGTATGATAGGGAGTAGATTTCTTGGTGTTATTTGAATATTTCGAATTCGTCCAAATTATCATCAAAATATCAACTTTTCATGAATTGACAGTACTGATGTACTTAATTTCAATTAAGGCTATGTTTTGGACCATATTTAGCACAATTTATTTTTCATATCGAAAACAGATATAGATAGGTATAGAACATTATCAACAAGAAAGTATTAAAATACTAGAGCGAATCCAAAAATGTATTATTATACGGGGTGTTCCGTTTAAAAAATAAAGTTGCTAGGACTTTTTAATGGAATTGGCAACGCCACAATGCTGAAAATATTTCAGATCGATAGAACAGGTAAGCAAATGTGAGAGGTGAAATTTTCAGAAAAACCATGCTTTGCATTTTCCAGAAACGTCTAACCTACAATCGACCGTGAGTCACGCTGTATACCCATGATTCCTCACCATAGTTATTCAAAGATCCTCCATAACAATGTTTCCCACCTTCTCAACATTTTCACTGGTAGTTGATGTGCTGAGGCGTCCAGGACAGGCTTCGTCATTCACATCTTTTCGACCTTCTGTGAAAAGTCTGTACCACTTGTAAAAATTTTTCTGACTCAGAGTACAATCACCATATGCCACTGTCAACATTTCGAACGTTTTTGAGCACTCAATTCTATTTTTACACAAAATCTGATGAAAATTCTTTTCGATAACAGAAATTGAACAGTCCACGTATGAGATAGATTTGGGTTGATTAGGTTAGGTTGGGTCCAGAGTCAGTGGGTCTACTCGACCCTTCACCGCAACCCGCAAGGGTTCATTATGGCTCACAACTATTAACACTCGACCAAATAAACCCAGATTCTTAAAACGAAGCCGATTAGTTTGTATGGTGAGTGGGTTAATTAGAGACATGTCTGGAAAAAATACTATATAACGAAGCACGTTTTGCGTTATTTTCAAACTGTTTAGTGGAAATCTCATAGTGAAGTGTTTCCTGAATACGATTCTGCTGTAATTGTAAACAAAACATTGGCTATGAAATTCTGCAGACCACTGCCAAAATCCGCAGAGATTTGAAGCTGTTAACTATACAGCAGTCAATTCAGTTGAGGAATCAGAGAGTTTTCGAGTCAGCGGAAACTCATGATAACCCATTAGTTAGGGAAGCTGTAGACTACACTATAGACGACCCCACTCGATTCAGAAGGCCCCTTCGCTCGGTTGAGTGAAGGCCCCACGACGTCTGTTAAAATGAACAGTTTGTTCATCAATACCCCAGTCAGGAAGGGGTACACAAGGCCAGAGCGGCATAGATGTCATTGACCTTTATGCCGTCACCAAAAACACTCTTAGTTATGAACCACTCGTCCTCCTGACGAGAGACAGTCGAAAGGGTACGGGAAAAGATTTCCAACCTGATATGGAGATGACTATCGGCGTATTTGGAGACCAGTTCGGCGAAGGATTTCTTCATGAAATTTGAAGGGGTATAGTATTTGGGAACGTTGAGGAGATATGTATTACAGGGAGTAATTGGTAATGTCCAGGGAGGGGCAATTTTCAAGTCAAGAGGAAGAATATTTGGAAAGTCCATATGGTCATCAGAAACTTTGGCAATTTTCACATTGAAAGGTAACGGGTAATTTTGTTTCTGTTCAAAGATATGTTGGAAACGATCTGAGAATGTATATCGAT